CATTGCATGAGCATAATCATTAAGCATTCATATATAAGCTTTTATATGTGAAACGTACAATTGAAACATGTGAAACATGCCTTGTTATTCTATCATATGTGTATGCTTATGATAATGTGTGAATAAGTGCAAGTGATTGATGATTGGTCACTAAAACACCTTAGCTACACTTAAGATGCCTAATGGAACAATGTTCATGTACATCACTTTATCTAATTAAGCTCCTAAGTGATGACATGCTTGTTGACCTAGGAAGTATTTATATGTAACCAATGCATAAGATGTGTGTGGAACCTTAGGAATACTCTAAACAAGTTTAGAATGCCACTAGGAACAACTTTGGTATTCATGACCAAGGCTAGTTTGGCCTCTAAGTCATGGTTATAGTGTAAATCATTATAGGTTTGACTGGAGTTGAACATCACTTTAGAAAATTTTCATGGCTGTGCACCCTAAAACAAAGTTGTAGAAATCAATTAGTGTAACAACTTTAATTTCTGGGTCATAGGCTAGTTCAGCTCCTAACATGCTTGAATTTGGATCACAAAACTGAATGCAGTGCTGTTTTTCATACTTGAAATTTTTTTCTAAGTCATATTGGGTTGACAGTACGTTGTGGCTGACTTTGTGACGATTTAACTCCATAACCATTTCGAATTAGGAGTTGAGTTCTAAAGCAATATTGTAGCCCGTATATAGCTCTGCAAATCTTGTTTTAACATCGGGCACTAATTCTTCATGGATTGAGAGCTTTAGCACCTTCATTTTGTGCTGTCAGTCGTTCGATCGGGCTCTGATGGCCGAAGTCACACGCCGTGGGTGGCCGACTAGGCGCAGCGCTAGGCCGCCGCTGGCCAGCGTTGGGCCCCCACCATGGCCGTGTGGTGAACGATATCAGAGAAGCTGCACTACCCATTCCTCACTCGCGCTCGCACTCTCTCCCTCTCCACTGCTCTCTCTTGCGATCACAGCGGAGCTGCCCTCGCCACCGATCCACCACGCAACCATTCCTCGATTGCTTGCGCACGTAGATGCGCCTTGTTCCGCTCTACACGCTCATCATGTTTGCAGCCCCATTCGAGCCACGGTGAGGGTGAAATCACCGATTCTTGACCTCGTCGGAATCACGAGTTCCATGGCCGCCTTCATGGTGAGCTCACCGCCGCTCGGCTCCCTTGTGCATTCCTTCTACTTCTTTGTGTTGGAGCTTGGTTAGGGTGTCCTAGCTTCTGGCATGACGCTACGGCGATTGGTTGACTCGTCGGTGCGGAACACGATGGCCAGCGCCGCCACGCTCTCACCGCCGCACCACCGCGCACATGGACACCCTCGCCGGTGCTTCCACCTAAACCCTAGATAGTCTAGATAGGTCCGTGTCATCACCATGGAGCTCTTGCGCTCCTTGTCGGGACTTGCCGTGGCCAGAGATGGCCGACGCACCTCCGCGCAGCGCCGTGCGCCGGCCATGGCCAGCGACGAGCATGCTCCGTTGCATCAGCGCTGCCACCATCGGTACCAGTCGACGTGGGTTAGTGAGTAGATCACGTAGGTGGGGTCAGTTTCACCGGAGAGCTCGTCGTCGGTGAGCTAGCGCTGGTCAACCACCGTGCCCTGTTTTGGCTCACTGGCAAGTGGGGTCTGCTGACCCGTGGGTCCCAGGAGTCGGCGACTACAGTTATGGTTTAGTTTTATATCTTTTCTAGATTTTATGCTAACTTTGGAAAATCATATCTAGAGCTAGGAATGTCCAATTTTGATGAACCAAATTTTGTTGGATTCCGCATGAAGTGTAGTATTTTATAAAAATATGAGATGCACTGTTTCTAGTACCACCGGAGCAAAGACTTCCTCGAAGTCGATGTCCTCGCGCTGCACGAAGCCATGGGTGACGAGCCGAGACTTGTACTTGACAATGGCGCCGCGCTCGTCCCGCTTCACCTTGTAGACCCACTTCAACCTGATTGTCCTGCAATGCACCAGTGGATCCACCAGCTCCCATGTCCCATTGTCCTCGATGGACTTCATCTCTTCCAACATCGCATGGCACCAATTGTCGTCGTGTTCAGCCACTGCAAATGTCGGTGGCTCTTCTGCACTAACAAGGAGCAGCTCTAGATCATCGAGAAAATGACTGTCCAACCCAGGAGCTCCCCCTTCACCGACGATGTTGTCCACCCACCTGAACCGGACCTCCTCACCGTCGTGGAAAGCGTCCACGTACTCATCGATGTCGGTGGGTGGAGAGGTGAACTTGATCGGTGGTCCATGGGCTCCCTATTCTGCTAGAGTGGTCGGCATCGCTGCTGGACCGCTCGGCACCACTGCCAGAGTGGTCGGATCCACTGCTGGAGCGGTCGGCACCACTCCTAGAGTGGTTGGCTCCACTGCTAGAGCGCTTGGCATTGCTGCTGAAGTGCTCGGCACCCCCTCTAGAGTGGTCGGCATTGCTACTGTACTGCTCAGCACCACTCCTGGGGTGGTCGGCACCTCTTCTCCAGCGTCTCCACCACCGTGGATGACTAAGTGTTCGACGACAAAGGTGCTACTCAAGCTGCCAGCTTCTCCTATGCCCAGACCCTCCCAGTCCTAGGCCACCATCTCATTGGACACCACATTCCTAGAGATCACCACCTTGCCTCTCTTGGGATCATAGAGCCGATACACCTTGGTGCCCTCCTCGTAGCCCAAGAGCACCATCGGCGTGCTCCTGTCTTCCAGCTTGCCGAGGTGAGGCTTGGTGTTCTTCACATGGACGACGCAGCCAAATGTCCTGAGAAAGGACACATTTGGCTTGCGTCCATGCCATGCCTCGAATGACGTCTTGCCCTTTAGGGCCTTGGTGGGCGCGCAGTTGAGGATGAACACCGCCGTGGTCACCGCCTCTCCCTAGAACATTGTCGGCATGCTTTTGGCCTTCATCATGGATCAAGCCATGCTGACCACCGTCTGGTTCCACCGCTCCACCACGCCATTCTACTGTGGCGAGTACGGCGCGGTGTGGTGTCACACCACACCCTGATCCACGCAGTACGCAACGAACTCCACCAAAGTGAATTCACCGCCACGATCAGTCCGCAGCTCGCGTAGCTTCTTGCCGCTCTTTGCCTCCGCGCGCATCTTGAACTTCTTGACCGCTTCCACTGCCTCGGTCTTGCTAGTCAGAAGCTGTAGCCACATGAACCGGCTGTAGTCATCCACCAGCAAGATGAAGTACTTGTGCCCACTGTGTGTCGCTAGCGTGATCGGACCACAGAGGTCACCATGGACCAGCTCGAGGGCCTCTGCCACGTGGTACTTCACCGTCTTCGGGAACGACAACCTTCTTTGCTTTCCGACCAGGCAGCTATCACACATCTCGCCTGCGCGCTCGATATGAGGCAGCCCAGTCACCATTTTCTCTAGCCGACCAAGAGCGTCAAAGCTAAGATGGCCATACCGAACATGCCACAGCCATGGCTCCTCCGTGTGCCGTGCAGCCAAGGAGATGGGCTGCTCCACCTTCAAGTCGAGCAGGTACAGCCAGTTCCGGGACCTCTTCACCTTGGCAAGAAGCCGCTGCTCCCGGTCCCTGATCCTGAGAACACTGTCCTTGATTAGTACTTTCTTCTTCTTCTTTTCCGAAGAAGCCTTGCCGCGGCGCTTGCCATCGTCACCGCGGCTGGAGGAGGCTTCCCCAGACTTCTTCTCCTTCATCCGGGCAGCCCACTCGTCCTCTGTCCGCAGCAGCTTGCCGATGTTCGTCATTGCTGTGACCTGCTCCATGCGCTCGTCCATCATCCGCAGACGCCCTGTCACATCCTCAATGGTGAGGGTGGACAAGTCCAACATCATCTCTATGAAGAGAGCGATCTGGATGTACTTCACCGGCACGGAGCGGAGGTACTTGGAGACCGCCTCTTCTTCGTCGATGGTGACACTGTGGCTCCTCAGCTTGCTGATGAGCGACGGCAGGCGAAGGGAGAAGTCCTGCACTGACTCACCATCCTTGAACTTATGGTTGGCGTACTCCTGCTTCAGCAGCTGGGCTGTCTCCTTCTTTGCGCGGTCAGAGCCGACGCGCATTGCTGCAATGGCCTCCCACGCCTCCTTAGCAGAGTTCTTCGCCCCCAACCGCTTCCTGTACTCCGCTGGCACAACAGCGAGGATAGTCTCCAACGCTGAAATGTCGTCTTCTTTGTTGTCGGTGCCCTTGTTAATGGCATTCCAGAGCTGTCGGGCTCTGAGCTTGACCTTCATGGTCACCGCCCACTCGCCATAGTTGGTGCGAGTCAGCGTTGACCAATTGGTACCACTGACCTTCCGCACCGTGCGCACGATGACCTCCTGTCGTGGCTGGGCAGCCACAGCAGCGCCGCTGCTGTTGCCCATCTCCGAACCGTCCGTCATCGCCAGCGGTTAGTCCGGCGACAACGCTTGTACGGCTCCGATACCAATGGTTGGTCCCTCGGCTGCCCTACATAGGTAAGCAGTAAGCTTACCAGCACACTCACTCACTATGACTAGAGGTAGAAGAAGATATTGAGAACAGCTCACACACAGCACCAGCCCAGCGCTGGACGAAAGCTCTGCTTCTGGATGTGGCAACTGAACTGCTCTTTTGCATTGCCTTAGGTGTGATATATATATAAGTGCTAATACCTCTACCAGGTACATAGTTGTTGGTGAGTACACCGACTATCTACTCCTAAGGTACACTAACTACTCCTAGTACTACCAGTACAAAGCTTAGATCAGCCCACTACCAAGACATGGCTGATGTAATAGCTACCAACTAATGTACTAGAAGTAGCCTATTGCCATACTGCTACAGCAGTAGAGACTGGACAGCAAAGCTGACCAAATGTCAACTCTGCTATAGCAAGAGAGAAAAGATCAGCAGCAGATTATTTCTTACACTGCTGAATTTGATAAGTTACGGTGTCATTTTGGGGGAACTGATGTTTAACCATCAATCCTTCAGGTGCTCATCTTGTGGAAAGGATTCTGCAGCATCTTCAAAAATGGAAGACTTTTACGAGCTGGAGTTGAATATTAAAGGTTTAAATAATTTAGAAGAAAGTCTGAATGACTACTTTAGTGAAGAAAAACTGGATGGGGAAAACCAATACTTTTGTGAGTCATGTCAGAAAAGGGTAGATGCCACTCGCTGCATAAAACTTCGATCACTTCCTCCGGTTGTCAACTTTCAGCTGAAGCGTTATGTATTCCTCCCGAAGGTAATATACCTTGATGCAAAGCTCATCCAGAGTTTTGTTGTAATATGTTCCTTCCACACTTATTAACTCGTGCATTCTTCTCCTTTTCCTTTGTAAAGAATTTTTTCTAACTTTTCTCATTGCCAGACAACAACAAAGAAAAAGATTTCTTCAACGTTCAGTTTCCCAAGACAGCTCGATTTTGGAAAACGGTTGTCAAACCCTTCATCTAGTTGTACTTATGACCTGGCTGCTATTTTAATTCACAAGGGTACTGGTGCTAATAGCGGACACTATGTGGCACACATAAAAGATGAAAGCAATGGGCAGTGGTGGGAGTTTGATGATGAGACTGTATCCAAACTTGGTTTGCACCCGTTTGGCGAAAAACCTGGAAAGGCGTCAAATAAAGTTGATCATAAGGCCCAAGGTATCTCCACAGCAGGTTCTCTCACAGATAATAATAACAATGGTCACCAGGAGGCAGCGCCCACTTCTACCAAGGTGGAGATGTTTTCATCTACAGATGCTTTTATGCTGATGTACAAATGTACCACTAAGGATGACAATGCCACAGAAAACAATAAAATTGTGGAAATAAACAATGATTCACTTCCACAGCATCTTCTTGATGAAATTAATGAACTAAATGCATCATATGTGAAATCGTGTGAGGAATACCAAAGCAAGAAGGACAGTCATTTGACATATGTAAACGAGAGGCGTCAAGAAGTAAAATCTGTTCTGACAGAAGCACCTGCTGATCCAGAGGATGATTCATACTTTTGGATCTCAACAGACTGGCTTCGTCAATGGGCAGATAACATTACTCCCCCCTCGTAAGTTTATTCCTGCATAATATTCTCATAATGATGCAGTATATATTAAAATGGTGTTTGTCTCAGTACTTTAGAAGCATATATCATAGGGCCAGCTCATCTACTAAATGAAAATAAAATTAGTATTTAACAGGCGATATTGTTATTTGTATAATTGTATTACAAGCAAAAGTACCTGAACTTTTATCTGACTTCGGCTTCCATCATGATTAATTGATGGAGGTCTTGCGACTACACCACCCATCTCTTAAGTCTGTATTTAATCTCTTGGTCATGTAATGCATCATAAGGTAGCCTGTTTCTTTGGATATGTTTGTTCATGCTTGGAAAGGTCGTGTTCGGTCATGCTTAGTTGTGTGTTGTAGCTAGGGTTGTGGTTGGTCACATGTTGTTAGGGCTGTGCAGGTTCATGGTTTGTTGTGGTTGTTAAGGTTGTGTCCTGGTCGCTGTAAGCCTATAACAACTTTTTTGTTCTTAAACCGGTGTATCGAGAAAAAACAATTCTCTGATTGTGTCTAATATAATTGAGCACATCTTTTTTTTTTCATATTTTCCGTGGCTATATCGAATGGGCTAGTTGCCAACTTTGTTCCAGCTACATTTCTTTTCTCTTAATTAGTTAATTTGGATAAGGTTGTTTTAATATGAGATACATTTTGACCACATTTTTCTGTGTTGTGATAGGATTATGAATCTTTTTGTCAGTACTGGGCCTTTAGTTGCATCTCAGTATGTTTGGGCATTTATCTTATCTTGGGGGCATTTCCCGTAAGAGCAGTTAATGGCTTAACATGCCTATCGAACTAATAGGAACAAGTAATCTTAAACAAACTATTTCTAATGACCAAGTTCATATTTTCTTTTACGAAACATTAACTGTCAACTTAACTTGTCTATAGAACTAAGGGTTTGTTTGGTGTGGCCAAATTTGCCTTGCCAAAATTTGGCCAGGCTTGACAAATTTGGTGTGTAGTCTGTTCCAATGGTTGCCAAAATTTTGGCAAGCTCCCTTTTCACCATTCAACGCATCTTCTTGCCAGCTTGCCAAAACTTTGCAAGCAAAACCATGATCAAGGTCATAAAGTAATCAATGATCAAGTCAAGAATGAAATGATAATCTAATATTATTTTGTCTCTATAATCCCTTTTGGCATGAGTATCCTTAGTTTGCATTTCAATGTTTGTGATATTGAATGCTATGGGTCGGTGCTTTCTCATGGGGCCAATAATGCTAGGGTTATTTGGATCAGTACCATTGCAATTTTTCAATCTTTGATATACGCCATTACAATTCACCTATTTGAAGATGTGCCATTATAATTTAGCTGTTCCCTCAAATCTGCCATTTTATACGTCTTTTATGATCTTAGGCCCACCTGCAGCACTAGATGATTTTGTACAGACCAAAATACCCTTGTCTCCTTCCTTCTCTCCGTCCTCCTTCAGCACATCTCCAGCATGAACGCCATAGAGTCAAGCTTCATCGCCATCCAACCTCCCCCGTCCATCCAGCAGCACGTTGGCGCGGTGATCGCAAAGGTGTGCTTGTAGCTCGTGCGGGAGGACGTCAACTTGATCCCCTGGCTAGTTCTCATACTGATTCAGTCATCGACGACCTCTGCTCCACCCTCCGGAAGATCGAAAACCTGCTGTGTCTGGCCGCTACGCGGCCTACCGTGCCTCGGCCCCTGTGTTGGCGCCCTGCCACACGCGGCGCACGAAGCCGTCGAAGTCTACGCGGCCGAATGTGCACGGGGAGACCATGGTCGTGGCCCGCCGTAGAATCTGCTTGCCGGCCGCCCCGACGCTGAGCTTGCCAGGCGAGCGACCCACCCATGCTCGTCAGCCCTGCGCTCACCGACTGCTCGTCCTACTCCTTGCGCCCGCCGGCCGCCAGCCTGCTGCTGCATGTGCTCCAGATCCACGAACGCTGCGTCGGGGGCAGACGTGCAGCGCCCTAGGTGGTCGAGCTCGCCGCCCCAGCCGGCTGGCTTGCCGCTCCCCGTGCCGCCTCCCTCCGGCGGCCATCGCACCTCCACCTCGTCCTCACTGACCTACTCTCCTTGGCCGACCATCTCAAGGCCTCCGCGCACGGGCTCGCCGCGCCACCGCCGTCATGCGCTCCCTCCCGCACATGCTGGCACGGAGAGGTCCGAGGCTGCCCACACTTTGTCATTTATGTGCTGTTGGAGCACTACCAGGTGGAGACTGGGACGAGGCCATCAGGGAAGTCGTTGGGTCCGAGGACAGCGGCACGACTCGAAGAAAGGAGACGGGGCGTGCGTGATGGGGAATAAAGGAGGAAGGACCTGACCTATGGGCCCCCACGTCATTGATAGGCAGTGAGAAGAAGATAGAGGGGGCATTCTGGTCAATACGAAAATACTTTGGCCTGCAAATGGGCTCAACTGTTTCTAAAACGTTCGTGATGGTATATTTGTGGGAGCAAAAGAATTATAATGATGCATCTTCAAATAGGTGAATTATAGTGGCGTACCTCAAAAGTTAAAAAATTGCAATGGCGCCGATCGAAATTTCTAATCCCTCGTTTTGTAAATGCAGCAAGCAACACGACAGCTCCTCGGCTGTCACAATAGGTGGCATTGAAATAGTATATATATATATATATATATATATATATATATATATACACACACACACGGTAAGGCTATTCTTCAGCTGGCCACAGAATAACTTACTCTATGGTCACCTTGATTTACGATAATGTTTGTACCAATTTACGATAATGACAATACACATTTACGATACATAGGTTACTATAATTCAAGATGATACTTACCATAATGCTATAGTAAATCACTTATGAGGAAGTTACCATAATCTTGTAAATTAGTATAGTAATTATCGTAACTCAAAGTGGCCATAGAATAACTTATTCTGCAGCCAGTTACAGAACAGTAGCTCTCTCTCTCTCTCTCTCTATATATATATATATATATATATATATATATATATATATATATATATATATATGCATGAGAAGGGCGGGCTTGGTGCAAGCGGTAGAGTCTTACCACCTGTGACTGGAAGGTCCCGGGTTCGAGTCGCGGTCTCCTCGCATTGCACAGGCGAGGATAAGGCTTGCCACTAACATCCTTCCCCAGACCCCGCACAGAGCGGGAGCTCTCTGGGTATGCCCTTTTTATATATATTTTGCATGACACTGCAATATTACTTGCTGAATTGTAATTGCTTTTATGTGGCAACTCGTTGGCCTTTTGATATTCCTTGCTGAATTGAAATATAATCTTTTTACAGTTGTTTTTTTCCCCTGCAGTTCCATTGACAATGATCCAATTCAATGCGAACATGGAAAGGTTCCAGCATCTGAAGTCACATCAATGAAGCGACTATCATCTGTAGCTTGGGAAAAACTATATTCGAAGGTAAGAAACTCATCCTCTTGGTTTCCACTTCATTGAATTTTGTCTTACATTGCTTAAGTTCAATGATTTTCTTTAATTCTGGAGCATGCTGTAGTAGTGTAGTTTTAACATATAATGTTTTGTACTCATTTTCTAATGCCTGTGCCATAATATTGATGAATATTTGCCTTTGGTTTTTATGGCAAAATTAAAGTATGGAGGGGGACCGACATTGAGCAGTGATGATTTTTGTATGGAGTGTCTTAAAGATGGGGCGAAAAATGCAGTATCTGCTGATATCTACCGTGAACGAAAAGCATCATTAAAAAACCTTGCAGAAGCAGCACTTTCTGGTAATTGTCCAGATGGTCCTTCTTACTTTTATCTCAAGACATGGTACGCAAAATGCATCCTTCTCTTGATTTCTGATCTTTGTTCTATGTGTAAGATAATATTTTAGGGCACTTAGGACTGCCCTCATATACTGCCTGCCTTTATGTGAACTGTGCATCTTATAGCCAGCTGATTCTCTTTTGTGGCAACGTACTATAGTGTCTCAACCATAGTTGTAAATTCCATTCTGATTTGACTTTTGGAATGGAATATCTCGGTACCGGCCTATGCTGGTGTATCGTTCCAGACTTTATTATAAAACATTATGCAAATATCCGTATACATAAACGGTTTGCATATTTATATGCATACATAGTTTGAAGTCATAATCATGCTTCAAATACATGACTTTAGGTCCAAAATAGCACATAGTTCAGCTTGTAGGTTGATCTTATCACAGTGTTGGGCTGGCTGAATTAAGAACGAGGCTTCAGTTTGGACTGGTACCGAAATTCATAGAATGCCAAATGATCAGTATTGACTGGTACTGAGGCCATAATGGGATGAAGGCTCTTCTATGCTGGTTTGGGCACTGGTATGAGAGACATACCGGCCATTCTGGCTGGTACCAGAATGGGATTGATATGTTTTGTGTCAACTGTCATTGTCAATACTAGATTCATATTCATGATCTTACTCTCTGGCTCTATGTTTATATTTTATATCTTAGAGGCTATTTCTCAATGCTGATCATGGTTTTATGCAAATGTAATTATTGTTATTATCTATACTGCTACATTATGTTATGTTTTTCTTGATTGAATTTTTACACCTTAGCCAGTTGTAGTCTTTATGTTTCCTTTACGGTTGTATTTCTTCAACTTTGTGCAAAACAAATTTCACTCTGAATCACCCCTCTTGTGTGCATTCATACTGCAGTAACTGATCTTTTTGCTGTTTACTCCTAGGTTGACTCATTGGCTGCGGAGGAAAAATTCTGATATCCCTTCGGATGCGGAGAATGGACCAACAAGTGTTTTAAGATGTTGCCATGGGGATCTTCTGCCGGAGCATGCTCCAGGAGCAAAGCGAGTATCCGTACCAGAGAACCTCTGGTTATTTCTCTATGAAACAATGAACGAGAAAAAGGCTGATGATATTGTGACATCTCCATCAGATTGTCAACCATGTGAAATTTGCAGTCAGGAATTGTCTGATGTTGCTTCTGTGGAGGGTAATCTTAGGTAATATAAAGTCAGAAAATCAGTCTTAGATATTGGATTATTCGCTGAAGTATTTATATGCCTAATATGCATTTTCTTATACATGGTGTATGACTTCCAGATCAGTGAAAGTAAAGCAACGACCGAAACATGAAAAGTTGGCATCTGGGAAAAGCTTTACACTTCATCCTGGTCAAAAGTATTTTTTCCTTCATCATGGTTGTCAGAATGGAGAGCTTATATTACAGCCACCGGGAAAAATATTTCTTCGTTACCAGAACCTCATAGTTTGGAAGTTGTTGTCGGTTCACTTATATGTGAAAAGGTAAACTAGTGTGTCACATGCTGATATGTGTCCGGTTTTGTAAACCTATATGGTAATAAAACAGTGGAACTCAAATATTTGAATTTGAGAGTTCAGGCAAGTGAGCCTTTCTGTCGAGAACAAATGGTAAACCCATAGAATTTCAAAGATGCCCTTGTCAGAACTTCTATACCCAAGTCATTGTCAGAACTTCTATACCCAAGTCATGAGGTTATCTTTAGTAATGTTTGCAATCTACTTCTGAATAGATAATAACTTGCTAGAGAGCAGGGTTGTAATAAAACCTGAATTCTGGCAAAGTACAGTTTTGCATATAACAAGATGCATTGTATTTTAATTCTTAGTAGTGTCTTATACTTCATCAATTCGTTTAGTCAAACCCAAATAAAGACTCCTGTGTCATCTGTATGGTGAGTATAATGCACAAATTTTACATTGGTTATTGTGTATTTTTGTCTTGATTAGACATTTGTGTTTCTGTTGATTGTGATCGGCTGTAGTAATTTGTTTATTAATTCTAGTTGTTGGGTGTATAAAGTGCTTTCATGTTGAACATGAGGATTGATAATTTTCAGCATTCAAGATTGCTGCAAAGGCCTTTGGATCTTGTATGTAAGCGTGGGAGCATCACTCAGAAAATGTCAACTGTAAGTCCGTGGTCTTTACAAATTTTCCTTACTAATGCTTGGCTGCGGCTTTAAAAAATATATAGAGAGAGGGGGGTGTTAAATAAAGTGATTTTTAAATCGTGCTTGGTCCATCTTTAAGCGGTGGAAACCAAGTATGTATCCTGCCACCTCTGAAACACTGCCAATGCACACTGTGACAAAAAGTGTAGTATAATTAGGGGCTGCAAATGCAACCCCGCCCCCCCCACACGCCAAAAAAATGGAAAAACAGTTATTTTGACTACAATTCTATCATATATGCACCCTTTATGACACAAGTCTATGCACCCATAAGGCAGGTGCACTCCCTTTTAATTTGCTCTAGCTTCGCCACTGAATACACACAAAAGGCATATTAGTTCCTGTTTGGATGCAAGGTATTTTTATAGTATCAGGGATTACTTGGTTTCATTAGAATACATGTTGCAGAAAATCCACTCCCACCCTCTTTTTTTCTAAAATGAAGCCACGTCTCTCTTGTGCTTCCATCTGATCTCCAATATTCATTCAGCTGGAAGCCTGGAATGATAGTGATACGGATGTATGTCCATTCTTGTGATAATTTACTAATTAGCTTTGGATGGGATCTTGATATTTTTATGATGTCCTGATAGTATGTCCATACATATATATCAAACAAAAGTATCTTGATATTTTATCATTATTTTGTTTCAAATATTTTATCATTGGTTATCAAGCCAGGCCTTCCACACATAACTATCATTCAATTTTATTTGGAAAAAACATGGCTAAAGTGAAATAGTTAGACAAACACTGAATAGTAATGGACCTAGCAGAATTTTTTTGATATGGCATCATGAACTTACATACCGTGACTACCAAATACATCGTTGCTTTCACAATACTGCAAAATACTGTGGTACTCTCAACCGTGGAATTTTATGCATGGTGTTTTAAAAACTGTAGTTTTCAAAAACCCTAACATCCAAACAGGCCCTTTGGTATGAAATGTGAGGTTCTTGCTGTAAGATTAGGAATGAGGAATAGTAGATTGATTATAGGAGATATGTTGTTACACATTTATAGGCAAGGATGGCTGAGGGTTTATAGCAACAGAACCAATCAATGAAGATCCTTGCCTAATAGAAATCAATCTATCTACCTAGCCATATAGGCACTAGGCCCAAATAGAGATGTGCAGGCCCAACAAGAGAGGAGTGGAGGGAGGAGTAGGGTTGGCCAGCATGGCGGCGATCGGAGGAGAAGACGGCGTAGCTCGGTGGCGCGCCTAGGCAGCGGAAGAAGGGCCGGGAGAAACCCAGGCGAATGATACCATGTAAGATTAGGCACGAGGAATAGTAGATTGATTATAGGAGATATGGTGTTACACATATATAGACAAGGATGGTTGAGGGTTTATAGAAACAGAACCAATCAACGGAGATCCTTGCCTAATAGAGATCAATCTATCTTTCCTAGACATATACTCCCTCCATGTCCCTAAAAAATGTCGTTTTGGACATCGACACGGTCCCAAAAAATAACTTTGACCACTACTTTTTGCTATAAAATATTTATAGAATATAATCAATATCTACTTTTATAAAACTATATTTCAAGATGAATCTACTTACATCACTTTCATATTTTCAAACTCAACCCAAAATAATTTATTTATAATCAAAGTTTAAAATATTTGACTTAAGACAACCTCAAAATAACTTTCTTTAGAAACATGAAGAGAGTAGGCACAAGGCCCAAATAGAGACGTGCAGGCCCAACGTGGGGCTGCCGCACCCTCCGTCTAACGCTTGTTGTCTTGAATTATGCTTTTACTTCTTTCTATTGTTCTTGCATCGTGAGCAGCCTCCTTGCCTTGCCCTTCTTGCCGCGCCTGGCCTCGCCCGGTAAGGAGAGGCGAAGCTCTAAATGCCGCTCAATTTGGTTCCTTTTCCTCCTTTCCTTGATGCGCTCTTGCATGCTTTCCTTGCCAGATGCTGAGCCTGAGCATCTTGGGCTACAATGCTTGCCTTCGTCAAGGCTGGCCTCTCCAGTCTCCATATGCTTCTACGCTGATTCTCATCGCTTCCCTCTCCATCCGTGGTTGAGCCCAAGCTATAACGGTTTCCTGTTTCAAGGCCGGCCGCTAGCAGCGAGCTCACTTCTTTAGTGACAAGGAGCCCAATTCTTACCAGAGGGTGTTGATTTGGGCTTTGAGAAGCTTGATTCGTTGCTTAGGAGCATCTATTTGGGTGGCAAGGACTCAATTCGGCGGATGCTATGTTTGGACGAGGAGCTCCATCGTGCGCAAGCATATCTTTTGCCCATGTGGGATAGTTGATTTAGCTCTCCGGCATGGGCATGGATATCCTTGCTCACCCGTGCGAGTTTGCTGGGTGAAGCAAGCTTTTAGTGTGCTATCAAACACATAAGCTTTGCCTGGTGAGGCAAAAATGCTGGACAAAGCTACCAAACACGTCCTAACTGCCTAGTCAATTTGGGTTTTTTGTTTGCTACTACAGTTGCCATGGAGGACAAAAACAAATAATTAGAATATCTCAAGTTAATCATCTTCTTTTGTTTTCAGACTGATGGGTTAACAGTAATGTCGGTGTTTCGAGTTACCATCGACTAGTAAATTTCTAATATTGCAGTCTGGCTTGGATGGTGTGCAGAGGACATGAGGTTTATACTGGTTCGGGCAGAATGTCCCTACGTCCAGTTCGTTGCTGCTGCTCGTGTTACTAGCACTGAAAGTTCGTAGTAGGGGTTACAAACGATCGAGAGAGGGACATGTCTCAAGTCTCTGGTGAGAGGAGTGAATGGGTGCCGAGAGCTCGGTCGCTTCCCGGCTGTGTGCTCGTGTGTTCTGGTCGGTTCGGGGTTCGATGGATTCGAGTCCCAATTGATGCGATATGTTGCGATGATCCTTATGGGATGCCTTGCTTTCCCTTTTATAGGCTAAGCGAAAGCATGGGTTACAGTGGAGGGAAAAGAGGAGAATGAGAAGGAGAAGAAGTCCACCAGGATCGCCGGGTCCTTCTTTTCCTTCATGCGGGTCCCACCGACCCTGTAGACGTCAACAGGGCCAGCTCCACGTCGTAGCCCTGTCCGTCATTGGTGCCATGTGCAGGCATCGTCTCCCGGTCCTAGCGCTCCATGTCACAGAACCGTCCAATTTATAAGAGCACAAGTACAATTGCAATCACCGAAGCGATCAAACCATCATACTTGAGCCCATATAAATCCGGTAGTCCGATAAAATCGCGAAGAATCTCAAACAACCAACATACAAACCAAGATCGTAGAGATTCAACATAACCAATCACATGTTACATCACAGTTCACAAATAGTTCTCATACATCGGAGTTCGAATAATTATTACAAACCAAGTTTGAAAGTAGCGGAAGCAAAGTAGTTTGACCTCAACATCACACATAGTTTAATACAAAGTTGGTTTCATAGTCATCTCTAACCAAAAGCACAAGGGTGAGATGATAAATAGGATGACCATTGCCCATGGTTCTAGTCCTCATTCACTGCAGGAGCAAAGCAGTTCTTGCAGTAGCCGTGATACATAACAATATCTGCAACAATGGAAATAAAACCCTGAGTACGAGAAGGTACTCAGCTAGACTTACCCGTCCAACTAAAATACTAAGACATCAAGGAGTATGTAAGGCTTTATAACTAGGGCTGGTAGACATTATTTTCATAAAAAACATAAGTTATCCAATATCTCTTTAATTGTGAATCACTAGTTATTAATTCTATCTCATACTAGATTAGCAACTATCCTATGCCAAACATGTTGGTACCATTAAGTAATCACAATAATAACCATATCTAGTTGAGTTCTTTCATAATCTCATCACCAACATTTCCATCATTTACTACGATGAAGGAACTCAAGTCAAGTTCTCACTATCCGGGAGAGACGGTGATTCAAATCGATTCCTACCCAGCTGGGGAATTATTCCTAACACACACCCATACTTCCCCCATCGGGTCACATCCGGTCACCTTTGGGACAACTCAAGTATAATCACGGGTAGGACCAGCGCCGCATC